AGTCATCCTCCGACCTTCTGCATATGAGACTCAACTTTCCTATCTTTCCTTCTTCATTATATTGAGTACTTCAGCTACCTTGACGTTATGTCATGCAAGGTAGCTTTCAGTGACCATTACTACATTGTCATCTTACTCATTTAGTGCCACAACAAGAACATTAATTGAAAGCATACGACTTCCCGGCTTCTGTTTTCCTTTGAAGGCTGTTAATGCGGTATCATGTTTTTTCTCCGGCCAAAGCAAGATCCATTGTATTTCCAGATTATATCTCGTTACAAGCTACATCATAAGGGGCATACTAGAAATATTATATTACTGTTTTTTAATTATAAATATTATATATTTATTAATTTATTTATTATATTGTTTTTCTATTTCTTTTCATAATGTGATTATGTAGTTTTCTATCTATAGGCTTATCAAGTACAATAGTTTGTATTCATAAATTAAAACTAATGTAATTGTCGATTAATTTATCACTCAATTGTAATGGAAGTCTCAATAGTCTCAATATGATATTAGAGCTCATTATGTTCAAGGAACATCTCGACAAAACTAAGACTAAAAAAGAAGTTCCGGGATTCGTTAGTCCAACAACCACCATCTTATAAAGACATGATGATGATATGGAACTCTAAATCTAACTCTAGATCAAATTCAATGCCTTTATAGGGACAATACTTTTGTAAAAAAGGAAAATGCTAATGAGTACCATCCTAGCAATATAAAAGGCACACAATAAAATTAAAAAATTGCTCAAAATTTAGTCCTATTAAAAGAGTAACATAATAAAGAAGTTCACAAAACTTCTCAAAATAGAAGTGAATGAATTTTACTCCTATTTTAGTTTATTTATTTGCCTTAAGAAATACATAGTAATATTTAGGGCCCGTTTGGCTCAAGGAATGTCAGAATACCATGAAAATGTCAAAATGCTGGGCATTTTAGATTGATGGGAATGTATTAAATTTGTATCCTATTTGCGTTTGGTTAAGATTAAAGGAATGCGTCATTAATTTGTTTGATTAATTGATATGTTATATTGCACACATGATGAATTGCTTCAATACCTTTCAAAGATTTTCCTTTAACACAATACACTTAGCTTGTACAATCAGACCGCACGTCACTAACAGAATGACCCGATTATTAAAGAACTTAGGGGACAATTACTTAAATTAGGGTAAAAATAATGTTTGATCTGGGAATATTAGAGATTGACTCTTGTATAAGGAAAAGTTGTATGTTATTTTTTACTCCTATTAAAGGCAATTCACTATCTACCACTAGTAGAAAATTAATGTATGATCATTCTAAATCATTCTTACTTTTTTTTTACTCGAGGAGGTGTCTGGGGGATGGGGGTCTGGGGGAGTCTGGAGTAATCTAGGCTGAAACTCACTCCATTGAGTTTCGAACCCGAAACCTCCTGTAAGGAAGAAAGAGTTTCTAAATCATTCTTACTTTATTCTTATTTTATTACGGAGTAATTCACTATCAACCACATAAACTCATTTTTATTAATGACCACACCAATTCCTCATATCCCGATGTTAATGGAACGGAAGTAGTACAATATAGTATCATAATCACTTAAGTTTTACTATTATATTCACTACTCACATTTACTATGAATTCGAACCCAACATGCCCTTATTGTTTACAAAGTTTCTATTTACTAAAAATTTAGACCACATCCGTCGCTTTATAAAATTCACTGCTACGTTGTTCCAAAAGGTGGAATCTTCCACTCAGGAGCCCCCACCCCGACCCGACAGGATGGTGGGGAAGTTAGTCACGGTGACTCAGTCAGCCGAATGGCAGTAGACACATACACCCGTGCGCACCAGAGGCCCAGCCTTATTTCAGGTTCTGTGACCTCCACCCGATCGCTGCGGGGATTCGAACCTTGGTCCATTGTTCCAAATCTCCCACCACTCGACCAACTGAGCTACCAGTGCGGGTAAAACAACAATTCAAGGAGTAATTCGTGACTTCATTTTTGACTTCTTTACAAAATCATATACTCTCTTTTACTGTCCATTTACCATCCATTTTTAAAGTGAAGAGGGAGAGTAATAATAAAACAAATTTAGATGATTTGACAAGATTCGTTGTGTTGATACAATCTATAAAGAAAAGATATTTGATGTTGAATAGATAGCTAGAAATGAATTACGTGTTCATCGAATAAGAAAACAATAATTCTTAATTGATTTGCAATATTCTTATACCTAAAAGGGAGATCTTTTATACTTTAGCATCCGCATTAGTGCTTTGTTTCTGTACGCGGGATTGGTTGGCATTTAACTATTTAAGTATCCGTATTATTATCTATGTAATGTAAAGACAATTGGTAGGGAACATCCATATCAAAGTTTGGAATAGTATTTAGCATTAGTCTTCGATTTGTAATTTTCATTGTTTTTGAATGAGTGCTGTCTGATTTTAGGGAATAGCATATTATAATTATAAAAATTAAAGAGTTGATTCATTAATATTTACCGTAACTAATCATTTTTTAAACAAAATAATTCAATGCATTTCAAAGTTATTGGTTGATTTGGTTCAAATTACATACTTCATACATGAGTGCTGTTATTTCACACCAATATATATGATGTGGATGATTCAAATTCATTATTTAATTGCAATATTCTAATTGATTATATGAACAATTAGTATAGTACCACGTTCCTTGAAGGTACCATAAAATTTGCTTTTTATAAATGACATTTCATTCGTGTTAACTTTTTCAATAAAATATGGAATATTTTATAAAGATTAACATATCAATGCAACATGTTTCGTACAAACAATGATCGAGTTTTTGCCATTTTTAGTCATCCGACTATTATGTCATTGACACTTTTGTAACTCGACTTTGATTTTTTCCACTTTGAATCCTTGACTATTGTGTCAGAGACACTTTTGGTACCTGCCTTCGAAATTTTCCATATTTGATCCTCCGACTTTCATAAAAGTGACACTTTTTATCATTCAACTTTTATAATAATGACCTTTTTTGTCTTTCATTTATTGTGTCAAATTCATAGTGGAAGAACTAAAAATGTCAATTTGATAATACTCAAGAACTAAATGTAAGAAATTTTGAAGTTGAAGACAAAAAATGTCTATAGCACAATAGTCATGGACTAAATTTGGAAAAAAGTTTTTGCCACTTTTAGTCCCTCGATTATTGTGTCAGTGACACTTTTGGTACTCGACTTTTAATTTTTCCATTTTTAGTCCTCGACTATAGTGCGAGAGACACTTTTGGTACCTGACTTTAAAAATTTTCGTATTTAGTCTTTCGACTTTTGTAAAAGTGACACTTTTGATCCTTCAACTATTGCAATAGTGACATTTTTAGTTCTTCACTTATTGTGTCAAAATCATAGTAGAAGGACTAAAATTGTCAATTTGATAATACTCAAAGGACTAAATGTGGGAAAATTGAAAGTCGGGGACTAAAAGTGTCTCTCACACAATAGTCGAGGACTAAAAATGGAAAAATTAAAAGTTGAGTACCAAAAGTGTCACTGATACAATAGTTGAGGGACCAAAAGTGGCAAAAACTCAATTGGAAAAATTAAAAGTTGAGTACCAAAATTGTCAAAGACACAATAGTCGGGTAGCGGAAATGGAAAAAACTCAACAATGATCTATAATTAGATTAGATGCTACAAAAAGCGTAAGGTAGCTCCTAGATGATAAGTTAGATGCTAGGTCGACTATTTTCTTTTGAGTAGAACTGTAAATTTGTCATTGATTAGGATCATATGCATTATAATTATGTCGAGACTCATACTATGCATTTGATGAAGCATAAGTAGCTAGACTCGTACTCGATCTGATGGTGTACGTTTGTGCTGTAATGCCCTAAAGTCGAGGACTCATTACGAGTGAATGTAAATCATAATTCCGGGCACCCTAAATTTACTCAAATCATGTGAATTCTAAAATGAGAACCTTGTAAGTAATTTGGATTTTTTGAAGAATTATTTTAGAATTTCAAAATCCATAAAACACCATTACCACAACACCTAGCTCAATCGGTAGATAGAGATTACCAGGGATAAGTCTCGAATTCTAATCTCGGTAACTCTATAAGAGGTTACTATGTAAAAATGAACATGACCTCTGCAAGTATCTGGGTTAGAGCGTTACTCATTATCCGTCAACTTGTGATTAAAGTTTAATTTATATCCCCTCAATTAAATGAGTGTCATTCTTTTTTTCCTATGTTCCAAAAGGTTGAATCTCCAACCCTAAAGACCCCCATGCCCCATTCAATAAGACATTTGAGAGATGGTAAGTCACGGCGATTTAGTCATCCCAATAATGGTAGACATTGTGCCCGTGTGCATCAGAGGTCCAGTTCAGCACATAGAAGCGGTAGCTCCACATGATCCTTACGGGTTTCGATCTTTGATTAATGTTCCAACTTTCATGATATTCAATTAACTGACAACCCGTACGTGTTCATTCTTTTTTTGGCTATAAATGACAATTGGAACTGCTAGCAATTTATTTGTGGGAAGGATAATATGGGAGGCGAGGACTAGAGTTTCCAAACAAAAAATGGATGGACGTAACTCAACTGGTAGCGAGAAAGTGTCATAAGGGTTAGGTCCCGGGTTCGAATCCCGGCAACTGCGATGAGAGGTTACTATGCTAAAATATGCATAAGACTTCTGTAAATAACGAGGACAGAGCCTCACTCTTTATCTGTCAGATTAGGATTATAATTCAATTTACATGCTTCCAACGTGCCGTGCTATCGGGTTGGGGATCTCAAGGATAGGGTGTCTTCCTCTTTTTTATTTATTGTTTTTTTGTTTTTGTTTTTTACAAACAAAAAATGTACGAAGTACTAGGTAACTTTATTAGTAGTGGACAGGTGTGGGGTAACCCCCACCTTAGTGATCATCTTTTTCAATAAGGATCCTCGATCTTCTTCCATATAAATAAGGATTTGCATTGCACTGCACTGCACTGCATTACATTCATTACAAATGCTTTCCTTTAAAGTCAATACCCTGTTTTTGTTTCTGTCTATACACATCTTTGCCTAACAGCCAGGCCACCATATATTAATCATATTCCTCCAATCTTCATCCTTAGCAAAAGTATATGGCGAACTCTATAATGGTAAAAGAAGCGATTTTGGTCAGCCCATCGGAGCCAACTCCGGTTCACGTTCTTCCCCTGTCTACCTTGGATTCTCAGCCTTTTCTCCGATTCACTATTGAGTACTTGTTGGTGTACAAAACCAGCGCCGCATTTCTGGACAGGACAGCCACCACGGCTCGGCTTAAAACCGCGTTGAGCCGAGCCCTCATCCCCTACTACCCGCTGGCCGGAAGAGTCAGGGTGCAACCCAACGGTTCCGGTCTCGAGGTAGCTTGTAATGGGCAGGGTGCTGTTTTCATTGAGGCCGCCTCCGACCTTCCGTCGACGGAGTTCGAGCGGGCGCCGAGAAGCGTCACGTACTGGCGGAAGCTCTTGTCTTTATGCGTCGAGGATGTTCTTAAAGGGGCCCCACCGTTGGTCGTCCAGCTGACGTGGCTGTCGGACAATGCCGCGGCTTTGGGCGTCGGCTTCAACCATTGCTTGTGCGACGGCGTGGGAAGCGCCGACTTTCTCAACTTTCTAGCAGATTTAGCCGCTGGGAAACGGGTAGCCGCGGCTGAGCATAAACAGAAGCCCGTCTGGGATCGCCACGTCTTCGACCCGGTACCGACTCGGCTGCTTAACTCAGTGGGCCATCCCGAGTTTAACCGAGTCCCCGACGTCAGCAACTTCGTCTCCCGCTTTTCCCGAGAACGGCTCGAGCCAACTTCCGTCATATTCGACGGGAAAAAGCTGAACGAGTTGAAGCAACTCAGTGAGCTCTCTTACACGTCATTCGAAGCCCTGTCGGCTCACGTATGGAGAAGCTGGGCCAGAGCATTGAATCTCCCGCCAAACCAAGTACTGAAACTGCTCTTCAGCGTCAACGTCCGGAGCCGAGTCAAGCCGAATCTCCCAAACGGCTACTACGGAAACGGTTTCGTCCTCGGCTGCGCTCAGACGTCGGCTAAGGAGCTGGAAGAGAACGGCTTGGAGTACGCAGCCGAGCTGATTAAAAGGGCAAAAGAGAGAGTGGACGACGAGTACGTGAAGGAAGTGGTGGAATCGGTGAGTTCAACTCGCGCGTGTCCGGACTCAGTCGGCGTGTTGATAATATCGCAATGGTCAAGACTTGGGCTCGAAAAAGTTGACTTTGGAATGGGGAGGCCATCGGAGGTGGGGCCCGTTTTGTGTGACAGGTACTGTATATTGTTACCGGTCTGTAATTCTACGGAAGCAGTTAAAGTCAACGTCGCAGTTCCGGTCAACGCCGTTGACAAATACTTGTACTTGGTGAGGAACACTACCGCCTGAACAATTGAGCATGACATCTAAAAAATGATCGATTGATGCTAAAATGGGCAGCGATTAGTGTTATAAGAAAGCAAATGTGAAGTACAAAAGTGTGGTTAATAAAATGGGTTGGTAATACTAGTATATATTTTGAGAAATAGCATCAAAATTAGAACAAAAAAACAAAATGTGTTGCGAGTTGTCACAAAACGGAAAGTTGACAAAGTTTTAAGGGATATGGAGAGAGTGTGCTTGTATACTTTTTGCACACTTCTAGTTGTCCGTGTATATAGATAGTCTGCTCATTTTTTAAAAAATCAATCATTAGTTGTTATTGTATATATACATAATGGAGTGCACAAAAATTTTACATTTTTTGTGGATATCCAGTTGGTTTCAAATATCATAGATTTGTTCTACTTGTAGATAGTAGTACTATAATTAGAAATTGTTCTAAATAGGAGTAAAAATGGTTTGAAATTCTAAAATATGATCGTTATGTTTTTATTTCCTAAATAGAAGTATTTTTTGTCAAATTTGAAAAAAAAATTGACATGTTTAAAGGAGGAAGATGAGGAGGAGGAGGAGGAGGAGGGGGAGGAGGAAGAAGAAGAAGAAGAGGAAGAGGAGGAGGAGGAGGAGGAAGAGGAGGAGGAGGAGGAGGAGGAGGAAGAGGAAGAGGAAGAGGAGGAAGAAGTGGAAGAAGAGGAAGATAGTTGGCCAGATGTCTGACTGAAGTGGTTTGTTCAAGTCATGGGGTTGTTTTTAGAAGCTGCCCTATATAATTTAGATTATATTGGAATTATGCATATGTGGGATTAATAACAGAAGAACCTTAATACATGGGATTACTCGGATGAATTTTCTTATTCAATATGAAAACAGTGCATAACATTTCAATAATTAACACATGAATACAACACGTATTCGTTATTGGTGTGGCTGAGAACAATGTTGAATGTTATGTATGAAAATGTATGCGTAGTGTATCATAACTAATGCTTTCTTGTTTCCCGAAGTACAAAATCTTTCGACAATGAAGAAATTATACATAGAAAATGTTGTTTGACATATCCTTGTTGATAACGTAGTGAGTTATCAACAAGAATAGAGAATTGAAGATAAAGAAGATAAAGACAAAGATAACAAATCAGTATTGTACTAGAATGTAGGATTTGTAGAGGATGATGAGATATTTAGATAATTAAGTGTGTGAAAAATGAAAAGAATGATAGATATTTAGAATTTTATAATCCCAACCCTCACCCACAGCCTAACGGTCAAAAGAGCTGTTTGGGGTACTGATTGGCTCGAATTAGCCGTTGGGGAGGGTCTATAAATATGGTAAAAGAAAAAATAGTCAAATTAGGTAGTCGTTGGGACCAGATCAGGCCGGGACTGGCCGGTTGCAGTCCCAATTTTGGACAACTAGCGACCATGTAATACAAGTCGGGGGTACTGGTTCCAATCTATCTTGAGATCGGATTTTCGATCTGCCGATTGGTCAACCGGTCCCAAGACTGACGACCGATCCACCCCTACCTAATGTTTTATACGCAAGCTTTTAACTATTGTCTTTTTGAAATAATTACATATTTCCCGAGCATGAAGACAAATATCATAAGCATGGGACAGCTTATGGAGAAAGGGTATTCAGCCGACCTAAGTGGTCGATACCTACACTTGAAGGATAGACGAGGCCGGGCCGTCGCCCGAGTAGAGATGGCCAAGAACAGAATGTACAAGTTGGACTTGAGAAGCGTAAACCATAAGTGCTTGAAAGTCGACCTGACGGACAAGTCACTATTATGGCACCTACGTTTCGTACATTTGAACTTTGGAGGATTAGCCGAGCTGAGCAAAAAGGGCTTGGTGCATGGACTACCCGAGATGGATTTTCCAAAGCAATTCTGTGAAAGCTGCGTACTTGGGAAACACACCCGGACGAGCTTTCAGAAGACTGCCAAGTACCGAGCCAAGGGAGCATTGGAGACAGTCCATACGGACATTTGTGGTCCGATCACGCCATCATCTTTCAGTGGGCGAAGGTACTTTATCACCTTTATTGATGACTACACCAGGAAGACTTGGGTGTATTTTCTAAAAGAAAAATCGGAGGCCTTTAAAACATTCAAAAATGTCAAAGCCGAGGTGGAGAAGACAATCGGACTGAAGGTGAAAGCGTTGAGGTCAGACCGGGGGGGAGAATACATTTCAGACTCTTTTACAAAGTTTTGTGAAGAGGAAGGAATTAGAAGATTCCTTACCGCCCCGTACTCGCCTCAACAGAACGGGGTGGCCGAGCGAAAAAACCAGAGCATTATGGACATGGTAAGATCCATGCTCAAGAGCAAAAATATGCCAAAGCAATTTTGGGCCAAGGCGGTACGATGTGCGGTGTATGTACAGAACAGGTGTCCGCACTCAAATCTTGAAAATCTAACACCTCAAGAAGCATGGAGTGGTCAAAAGCCGACCGTGTCACACTTGAGGGTGTTTGGGAGTATCTCTTACGCACATGTGCCCGATCAGAGACGGACAAAATTGGAAGACAAAAGCAAGAAGCTTGTCTTCATTGGCTATGATGAGAAGACAAAGGGATACAGACTATATGATCCCGAGGAGAAAAAGATCACAGTGAGCAGAGATGTAGAGATAAATGAAAAAGGAAGCTGGGATTGGAACACAGAGAAGGAGTACGTCCCGGACGGGACCTCAAATAACGAGGACGTCCCGGACGGGACCTCAAATGACGAAGAGACCCCGGGCGGGACCCCAATTCACATCCCGCTCGGGATGACACCAGAACCAATCGGGGCGGGATCTATGACGACCTCGGGGGAAGAGGAAGAAGAAGAAGGGACGAGCCGGCAAAGGTACAGAAACATACATGACATATATGAAGCAGCTCCAGAGGTTCACATGGTATGTCTTCTAGCCGATGGGGAGGATATTACTTTTGAAGAAGCCAAGCACGATGAAAAATGGAGAGATGCCATGAACGAAGAAATAAAAGCGATTGAGAAGAATCAGACCTGGGAACTTACCAATCTCCCAAGAGGTCATAAGCCGATCGGTGTCAAATGGGTGTATAAGAAGAAATGCAATGATGAAGGTATGATCGAGCGATACAAAGCTCGGCTTGTTGCAAAAGGTTACAAGCAAAAGGCTGGAATTGACTATGACGAGGTATTTGCTCCAGTAGCTCGGATGGATACAATTCGACTACTGATTGCATATGCTGCCCAGATGAAGTGGTCGATCGGTCAGATGGATGTAAAGTCGGCATTCCTTAACGAAACTTTGGAAGAAGAAGTTTATGTTGAGCAACCAGCCGGGTACGTCCGAGTCGGGAACGAGAACAAAGTACTGAAACTAAAGAAAGCTCTGTATGGGTTGAAGCAGGCACCAAGGGCATGGAACACTAGAATTGATACATATTTCAAGCAGAGTGGCTTTCTACAATGTCCATATGAGCACGCACTCTACGTGAAGAAGAATGAGAATGGAGTCTTGTTTGTCGCCCTGTATGTGGACGACCTAATCTTTGTGGGAGACAACGGAAAAATGGTTAAAGATTTCAAGGAAGCGATGAAGAATGAATTTGAAATGACAGACTTGGGACTATTAAAATACTTCCTAGGCCTTGAGGTGAAGCAAGCCGAAGACGGAATATTTATTTCCCAAGAAGCCTATGCTAAGGAGATTCTGAAAAGGTTCAAAATGGAGGAATGCAAGCCGGTCAGGACTCCAATGGAGACTGGAACCAAACTTTCTAAGTTTGGGGGAGGAAATCAAGCTGACGCAGGCTTATATAGAAGTCTGGTCGGGTGTCTTAGGTACTTAACCTGTACGAGACCGGACCTGGCTTTCAGCGTTGGGGTTATCAGTCGGTTCATGGAGGACCCGAGGGAATCTCACTGGAAGGCGATAAAGAGGATCCTGAGATACATCCAAGGGACGAAGACGCACGGGCTATTGTACGGGAGGTCGGCCGAGCCCAAAATGATAGGGTATTCTGACAGCGATTGGTGTGGAGATGTAGACGATCGAAAGAGTACCACCGGTTATGTTTTCAATCTGGGAAACACAGCTTTCACTTGGTTATCAAAGAAGCAACTGATTGTAACTTTGTCAACATGTGAAGCAGAGTATGTCGCAGCATCATACTGTGTAAGACACGCAGTTTGGGTGAGAAAGATGATGACCGAGCTGGAGCTCGGGAAGACGGAGCCGACTACGATTTGTGTTGACAACAAATCAGCAATAGAGCTTGCAAGTAATCCAGTCCACCATGAGAGGAGCAAGCATATTGATGTTCGATTCCACTTCATCCGAGAGCAAGTGAAGAACAAAGAGGTCAGTCTAATTCACGTAGCGAGCCGGGATCAAGCAGCAGACATCTTCACAAAGGCATTGCCAATCGCAACCTTTGAGCATTGCAAGTTGGGGCTCGGAATGAGAGACCGAAGAGAATTAAGATTAGGGGAGGAATTTGTTGGGATTAATTAATTAATCTTAATTAGTTTACTTCCTAGGGAACATAAATTATCTTTCCCTACTTTTATTGGAAAGATGAAATGTCTTCTTGGAAAGGTAAATTGTATTTCCTAGGGATTATTTTACTCCACTTGTAATGCCTATATAAGGCCACCAATTGTAATGTTTTATCAAGTGGAATATAATACATTCTCCTCCATTCCTTTGAGTTGTAAGTTAGCCAAACACTTAGAATATTTTCGGATATTTGGGGCCTTCATTTTTCTTGATTGATAACCTGTCATTTGGATGAACCCTAGTTTTGACTAAATTTTTCAGTTTTTTTTGTTATTGAAGTTATTTGTGAAGATAATTTCAATAGTATCCAAAATTAAGTGAATTGGCTGCTTCGCCTTCCATCCTATTCATCTTATTCTGAAACCCTCAACACCAAGTGGTATTATTAACATGTTGAAATGTTGTCTTGCTATTATTAACATGTTGAACATTGTGTGGGAAGGGCAATTTTTCTTCACGAAATACGCAGTATGTTACTTTCCAATATGCACTTTTGGTATTTTCAAATCATTTTCAAAATAGGTTAATTCACAAAATGCAGTTTTCCTATCACATGATTGATTGACTTTTTTTTATGTAATATAACCTGGACAAAATAGAACCTGTGTTTGACTACACGGAGAAAATATAACCTCTTTTCATTGATAGTTTATTGATGTAATTGCAGACACATGATGTGAGATTGTTTTTTAAAATCTCTTCATTCTGCTTTTACACTCTCAATATCTATCATTATATAAAAGCAAAATGTTTTTTGTACTGTTTTTTCAATAGGATTCCCGCTTAGAAAAGTCACCATCAACA